AATTTTTTAGTGGAGCACATTTCGGCGGGAAAAACATTGAACAGTCCGCAGCAGGTGTGATTGTATATGAGAAATGATTTATCTAATTTTACCTTCGCTTGCTCTGTTTTTAAGAGGAAAAGCCAGTAATAAAATATTTTGGGAATAGTTTTTGCGCCATCGACTTTTAGGGGGAGATGGGCACACATGGATATAGTTATAAATAAATAAGTATATAAACTTAATTAAGGGCGTTGATAACCAACAAGTTTTAGGTCTTTAACTTCACAACAACCAACCAACCTGGTAAATGTAAATTTTAGTTTTCCCCCAATGGATCAAGTCTCGGATGTACAGAAGATTCTGTTGCGTTAAGGAGCAGCGGCGTACTGTGGGATGAGTATGGGAAAACTCGCGACATCTATTTGAATCTATTTAAATCCAAAAACTAGATAATTGTTGTGTACCTTGTGTTGTTAGCGAAGTTTCCGAAGATATTTTCAGTTGGTTCCATACATATATTTTTCACTGTTTTTACTGAATATTTCAATTAAAAAAAAAAAAATGTCGCGAGTTTCTCTTTACTCATCCCACTGTGCGGTGGTCCACGTTCGAAGAGGATTTCGGGCTGAAGCCCCCTCCCCTCTCCCCCCATAAAATTGTTAAAATAATATTTTTTCTTTGGTCCATATTTGTTTCTGTGATTGGTGTGAGCTAAATATTTAAAAAATTAAATATATATTTTTTTAAAGCATGTATATTTCAGATTCTACATCCAAGCATTTTTCAACAAAACAATTGAAAATTCACTCCCATAACAGTTTTATTGTTAAAGTTAATTATCGTTATTTAAAAATAAAATGATAAGCCCCCAAATTGACATCGTGGATCCGCTACTTTAAAAGTTAACATCACATTGTGTAATTACTTATAACAGACATGTCCGTAATTATTATACCATTTGATTGATTATCCGAACTATGATCATGACAATAGCGTGAAAATACTGTAATTCTACTTATAATACTGTAATAGTTTAAATTCATTATATATATTTTTTAATCTTATTTGTTTAAAATGATAAACCACAATCTAAAATCTATGCTGAAGTCTCGCAAAATTGAAAAATATATATATATTTTTCATTGGTTCATGTTTTCTCTGTGTAATCTGAGCTTAATATGTCCTCTTTGTAAATTATAAAGTATACCAAATGTAAGCACGTGTCCAAAATATATATATATATATATATATATATATATATTCCTAATAGCGTTAGTGTTCCTATAATTACTGGATTTTTTGAAATATATTTTTAATAAATAAAATTCAAAAAAGAGTTGAACTTAAAAATAACTTTATATAATTTTCTTTATTTTTATTTCAGAATGATTATCGTTGAAGAAACAACGTAAAAAAAAGTAAAATACCCACCTCATTCAAAATTCTAAATCCGTTTTATTTTGTTACGTAATATTCATTAATGACATAAATTCTATATACTCTAAAAGTTCTATTTATTACATTGAATGATAAGCTGTGTAAGAAAAAACACTGAAAATATTTAAGATACAATTTTTTTTTATTCACACGTTCTTAGGAGTATTCCAAAATTTTCTAACTCACTAAAATAATTTTATCCATTTCCTATTATTATTCTTTATCAAGGGATATTATTAAAAAAAATAATATAATAAATAAATAAAATGGTTTTCTAAAACTGAATATATTATCACCTTCATTGTTTATTCAGAGGCCAGAGCCCGGACAGGTGGACTGACGATTGTATTTTCTATTCATTATGTGCGGTGTGTTGCGCCTTGACGTCGTAACTTTTATCATCTTTACCGAACACCTGATGAAAAACATTAGAAGGTTCTGAGTCATATTTTTGAATAAGGAGTTTTCGGATTACGAAAGCGTTGTGCAAATGAATTTTTCTGACGTTAGTTAAAATGTTTTATGAATTAAAATTAAGGCCTATGAAAAAAGGAATTATTTCGTACAAGTATAAAATTCATGTTCGTTTATCCCCTCATTAATTCCTAAAATTTACATTGTTACGCCGTGTGATTTCGAACATAAAAAGGAGTCGCGACCATTTTTTTTGTTTTTCTTAAGGTAGTCTCCGTTTTTATTGAATAAGAAGATATTTCTCAAAAAGTGTTACAAATAATTAAATTATAAGCACACCATCGGAAAGTATACATTTTTTTTTTCCGAAAACGGTTCTTAAATTTACTAGGGTCAATGATAAAAGGGACTTTCGGGAGGTCTAATAAGGCAAAGTCTACCATTATGCCGAATTATTTTTCGAATCGGAATTGCAGAGTTATGCTGCTCGAAACTGCAGCAGTAGTATATCGGTCGTATTGAACCTGAAAGTTCCTTTTAACGTTGACCTTAGTAAATTTAATAACTATTTTCTAAAAAAAAAAATATGTCTACGATGGTAAACTTAAAATTTAATTTTCTTTAACAATTTCTTCTTATTCAATAAAAACCGTGACCATTAAAAAAAAACACGCAAAACTGGTCTGAATTCCTTTTCCGTTTATAATCGGCTCATGCAACACATGAGCTTTTTCGTTTGAAAGTTGGTCTAGAATCAATCTCCAGAGTTAGCCCATTTAGAACTGAGACACTATATATATATATATATATATATATATATATATATATATATATATATATATATATAAAGGTTATAAGAAAAAAATATAAAAAGGTTATCCCTAAAAGCGTTATTACTCCTATAAACACTATGGTTTTTCTAAATTCATTTATTTTTTAACAGGTTTGAAACCACCACTTTAACTATATTTTATTTACTTTTCTTCCAGGGTAATTGCGGTATATAAAAATAAATAAATAAAAACAGCATGCCCCCCCCAAAAAAAAAAATTAGATGTAGGATCTGCTATATTGTAAGTGGGATTCAAGTATGTTCAATATTTGATTAATTATTTTAATTTTTTACTGAATTTCTTAGTATTTTTTTCTCATTAAAATTGTTCATTAATTTTTAATTAATAAATATATATATTTATATTTACACGTATAAATAAATTATTTAGATGCACCATGTATTTATACTAAATGATGTACAAGGTTCATAATAGAATAAATAATGCGAGCGCAACCCCTTGCAGAACTGGTTTGCTCCCTGAACTCTTTTGTAATGCAGATTTTCTCTCTACGCAATGGAATCGTTTTATGCATGGCTTCTTTTTTTTTTTTTTCTTTTCACGAAGCCGCATCGTTTATCTGTCTGGGAAAAGCGTTGATGGAAAGTAAAGGAGTTTTATATTGCGTTAATTGCGTTTATTATCAGTAGTCCAATAAACTCCAAAAATAAATCTGCATCTCGGACTCCCGAATAAGATTGTAAAATGGAGAGTCCTTTATATTAGGTCTTTAATGCTTTCTTGCTACGTTGTGACCCTGGGCTTACTTAACAGTCCAGAACGCCCTACCAGAGCAGGCACTCTTATAACGTTTCTGTTAACTTCGTATTTTTTCGAGTTTCAATCAATTTTGTCGATGCAACCTTTTGATATATTCCGACTATTGTGCGTTTTGTAATTAATTCATTCATTTTATTTTCAGTTACGAAAAAAAAATCTATGCTACATTAATTTCTATATTTATAACCATGGTATAGTATAACAATCGTGAATTATTTTAATTGATAAGTGCAGATTTACTGTTAACAGTTCATATTACTTAATAAATTATGGGTTCTTATAAGCTTTAGTTTAAAATATTTCGAATGATTAATTAAACAAAAACTTATACATAATTTATAAAAATCCTGGTTATTTCAGCCCTTTGTCATAAATTTATCCTTTGCTATGATCTTGTAAGTTTCAAAACGAATAAATTTAAATAAATAAATTCAAAACAATATATGTCGTACAAAGGTTCACTGGATCCACGAGAGCTTCAGTCTGAAAGTCGCCCCTCCCCATAAATGGAAATTTTTTTTTTTCTTTGCTACACATTTTGTTTTCATAGTTATCTGAGTTTAATACTTAAAACAATCAAAGCATGTACTGTTTTTAAATTATAATACACGCATTTCAGCTACTAAAATCTGTGCATGTGTCTAGAAAAAAAATATAAAAAGGTTATCACTAAAAGCGTTATTATTCCTATAAATACTAATGTTTTTCTAAATTTGTTTATTTATTCGACAGGTCTTAAACCACCACTTTAACTTTATTTTATTTAATTTTATTCCAGAGGAATTGCAGTATATAAAAATAATTTAAAAAAATAAAATCTAGGATCCGCTATTGTAAACGTGGGATTCAAGTATGTTTAATATTAGATTATTTTTTACTAAATTTCTTAGCATTTTTTTTTTTCATTATAATTGTTTATTATTTTTAATAGTTTAATTTGATATGAAGCAAATCCTCGCATTTTTTAAATTATTGATAATAATGCCTATAACGATTTTACACTTTTTTACTATTATATCAATTAAACTTTATTTATTTTATAATAACACAGCATTAGGGTAGAGACACTATTCTTTAAATACATTTGCAATTCTTAAAAAACGTTTTTATCTCTCACAAATACTGTATGGTTTGGTCGTTTGTTTAAGTTTGTCGCCATTTCCAATCATCGTACTTAAATCTTTCATATTGTTTCGGAGTGTTCTTCTGGTCACTTGGTTTAAATTAGGCGATTGGTTATGTGTGTTTAGAAAAAGGTTATTATAATGAATTAATGAGTATTAAAAATTTTATCCCTAGTTGATCTAGTATATACTGCACGAAGTTTCTTTGTCTTTTTTTTCCGTGAAATGGCAATCCATTTTCTGTTTTTTTCCGGATTGGAGAAGAATATTTTCCTTACTCATTGTGACCGCTTGAAGGACGCTTGAAACCGGCGATGAAGATTTTCTTTTTCCATCAGCCTGTTTTTTTTTTTGTTTTTTTTCGGCATGTAATTAGTTGGTTGGTCTCCCTGTTGGTCGCAGCCTTGAAGCCGCGTTTTTGTCCTGAAGAATGACTATTGGGCGGAAGGGGATGCCACGCCCCCAGCCTCCAACGCGCACGCGCATCTTCCTCCAATCACTGCTCTCTCATCCCCTCCAACTTATCTATCCCTTTTATCCCGGACCTCCTGCTTTCATTGAACCCAATACACGATTGATTCCAACCTTTTTCCAATACAGTTTGCGTTTCCAACCTTTTCCCAATACATTTATTGTATCGACCTCAAAGTTAGTATTTTTTTTTTCGATATCTCAATAGAAAATATATAACATATTGAGTTGTTTTGACTTTCTTTGGAATATGCGATTATGTCATTATATTTTAAAGTAATTTTTCGATTTTTGTTTATTTATTGAAATAATAAATCTAATATTACAACTATGTACAACCAATAAATGTGAACAATCAAGAATAATGACATAAACTGACTTGTCGAGATACCACCCAATGGTAGCATTCCCTAAAGATTTCGAAGTAATAAGATCCAAAGGCCATCGTCTTTTCAGACCCCTAGGAGGATTATCAGGAATCGAGGAGGAAGCATAATTGGAAAAAATTGGGTTCGGATGGTTCTGGTTTATATTATGAAAGGATGGATATCCTAATCTGGCCATATCAGTGACATATGGAACAATGCGGTTGTTATGAATTTCGTGACAAAGTTAAAGGATTGTGGATAGTAAGGAATGGATAAGATAGGAATTCGATGGTTTGGTGGATTCATGAAGCTCAATCCATATGTCCATATTGACCTTATTATAATTATGTATACCAGCATTTTGTAATTAATTGAGTAGGTGATGAAGCAGTCGGAAACGTCGAACAGTTTATTGTACTTAAGTTTTGTATGCGGATTTCAAGTACTACATTAGTCCAATTCTTAAATAGCGGACTTGTTGAGTAAAGATGAGTGGAGTATTATTGAAGAATAATATAGGACAAGTAGTCTCATTTATAAACTAAAATTTCTCTCTCTCCAATCCAACCCAAGGGCTTTATGAAAATTATAGGTTTACACAATATTGTTAAACAGACTTATATATTTTTAATTTATGATGGAATCTTACTTTCGAATACGAAGTTTTTCTTGAAGTTGAATGGTTGTTTAAGAATTAAAATAAAAATACTTTTAAAACAAATAAAGCTAATCAAATTTGTTTAACTATTATTTTTAATGAAATTCATGATTTAGGGATAGAATTTGCTTTGCTGATTGTCCTGCCTGTACAAATCTACGTGATGTAGAAATTCTGACATCCAGGGTTGTTGAACTGAAATTTATTCATAACGTAAATAGAAACTCTAGGAAATCCGATATATTGCACAAGGTTCTAAATACTTTATTAACATGATTTAACTGCGCTGTAATGTTTTCACTATTCAACAGGAATAAATTAATGATTGACGTTTCTCAAACAAGGGGCAAGACACCTAATTACGCAATTCGCCTTGTCTAGTTTTTTTTTTTTTTTTTTTTTTGTGGGGCAATGGAAATTTTTGTAAAACCTCTGCAATGATCTGATTGCATTCGATTAAAAATAAGATCACTTATTAATGAACCCGACCACGTTGTCGATATGAAATGTATAACTTCTTATATTTTAAAAATAATTTAATATAAATCTCAAATTTTTATTTTCAAATTCGTTATACATATTGTAATATATTTATTTACATTTTCTGTCCCTATTGCGATAGAACGTTATATTACTCAAAAGAATAGTCTTATGTTTCATTACAAAATTTATTTAACAGGATTAAAATAATTTGCAAGTAAATCATCGTCGAATTGAACTAGCCATTCCACTAATAGTTTTAATTCTTCTAAATTTTGTAAAAAACTAATTAAATAATGAAACACGATTAATATAAAATTAAAGAACATTTAACTGTGAGATTTACAACAATACTTTTCCGTATTATATGATTCCGACTTTGGAGGAGGGGACCATAACATTATTTTTTGATCACGCATAAGGGGGTGGGTCTAGACTAAGGGGGGTCCACTATATAATAAGTATTTACTCCCCTCATTAAAAAAAAAAATATAAGAAACTTGAAACAGTTTATTATATATATAAAGCTATTTAAAATAAGCCATGAGAACCCCGAACCAGGGCCGGGAAAATCATGACTCCAGGAGATCCCTGCTCTACTCTCTATAAATAAGTTTTATCAATATGTTTATCATATTTCAAAAATACCGACATCTTTTTTTTTTTTGTTACATGCGTACTAAAAAAATCTACAAATCATTATTTATTTATTTTTTTATATATTATGCATGAACCATTTATTTTACGCAATAAAGTTATCAGAGGTATCATTTACGGCTGTTTTGATGAGTTGATAAAACTTATTGATTTTATCGAATATCGATATTATATTCCTCTGATTTCGTTATATTATTTAAATACATTTATTTCATTTCTTTTTTTTACCCCGTACCCAAATAGTCCATTCAGTCTGAGAGCTCTGACTTCGGAGTGATCTGTATGACCCCGGGAATGTTCGTTCAAAATTTCCATTCGCCTGTGATGCTGTAATCGAAGTATCCGGCCGATGAATGTATTCAGGTGAAATTGGCCCCGGTGTTTGGGGGGGGGAGGGAGGGAGGAACTACGGTTGGTTGATCCGCCGCGCCCACAATAGAACGCCTCTCTTTACCGCTTAGCACCGATTCTAAAACAAAAACCACGACCTCAATTCAACTACGATGCTCACCGAAAATAATTATTAAAAAAAAACAAAAAAAAGTCTCTTGATAAAAATTAATAACTAAACAAACATTTTACAAGCACAGATTTCGGTACTCTTAATCATATACAGCAGAACCCCGTTAATCCGGAATAATAATGGCAGGGAGAATTCCAGATAACGCGAAAATCCCTGCAAGAGATGGTTTATACCATATATCTATCAAATGGAAGATATATAAAAAAATCCTCATTATCACGAAACTCACGTAATGCAAGTACGTATTTGTGTGATTCAGATTACTATGGTTCTTTCTCTCTCTTTTACTAAATATCATTTCTCAATTTTAGGTGTTAGACACTTTTTTGAAGAACGCTTGGATATAAATATTAAAAAAAAAATATTAAAGAGACAATAATATTCTATTGGCAAATAAGTCCTTTCTGTTTTTCTATTTATTTTTATGTCACTACGATACAGTTCTTATCTGATTAATTAATCCTTAAGGTGGACCGTTTATCCTGTTTGTAATACGTCAACAACTAGATCAGTTAACTCTAGTTAAAACTAGCTTAGTGTTGTATTTGCTATTGCACTGTGATTATAATATATATATAAAATATCATTCATTATCGGCATATTTTGTTGTATTATTTTAAAAAAGGTAAGCGTGCTGCAGAAGCTCATAAAAAAATTTGCAGTGTTTATGGGCATGCCTTAATCGAACGCACCTGTCAAAATTGGTTTGTCAAATTTTGACATCAATGACTCTCCTCATCTTTATGAAAGAGCTTTCACACCAAAGATGTAAGTGCCTCTTGCATCTTTTATTTATATCCATTATCTCGTTAGTTTAGTACGTGAATTTAGTACGCTAAAAATCTCCATCCGACTTGTCCCCAAGATGCATGTACTTCTTGCGTCCAGGCTGCAAGACGCACTTGCATCTTCGGTGTGAAATCTCTCGTTCTATTACTCAGTCCAGTGTTTAAGATGCATGCATCTTGCGCCTTGCATCTTCAGTGTGAAAGGAGCCTTAAGGCAAATGTTGGTCAAAATCCCACCCAATCAGTGCGAGAGATTGCTATGCCTCTACATGTGTCGCACACAAGCGTAGAAAACCATTTGCATAAGCTCGACTACGTTCGCAGGCTTAATATTTGGTGATGATGATTTTTTTCGAAAATCACAAAAAATGTTATATCTTCAATACGACTTTGGCTATCTACAAGAAAGTTAGTAGGGATTTAGGGCCACATAACCCGAAAGCTTTTATTTTCATATGTATACCGATAATTACTTCCGAAAAAAAAATGAAGATACTAACTAGCTATATGAAATGGCCTTTAAGTGATTCTTGAAGTCCTATTAAATGCAATTACACGAGCAATAATACTTTAAGAGATAATTTTTTTTTACCATAAACATGGTTACATTCTACCATTTCGGGGGGGGGGGACTTCAGCCCAAAACCCACTTCTCTCCTCCCCCCTCCGTAGATCCGCCAGCGGTTAGGACTGGTTATTGAGCGTCGAAATTAAGCATTTTAATCATATCGGTCTATTGAACTCACGTAGAGCTAAAAATAGACAGATTCTTCCCATGTCATTTAATTCATGAGCGCTTTCTACTTGAAACTTGATTGCAGTTTCACATTAACTTTTTTCACTTTAATATTCTTCTTAATGACTTTTTTTTTACTACAGTATTAAAAACGGAGTTACTAATATATTTTTGTCTATTATTTAAGGAATTTACTATACGTCTCTAAAAACATTTGAATTTTATTTTTTAAAATAACTTTTTTTTGTGAATAAGATGAAATTTCGTTACTCAACTGAACTCGATAATAGTCCATTTCTAATGAAACTTTATATATATATATATGTTTTTCTAATGCTACATACTTCACATAGATTGTTTAATTATTTACTTACGTAATTAAACAATCTATTAATAATTATTTATTATGATGAATACATTTGTATTTATGATTGTAGGAGGATACAATTCGACAAGGCGGGAAGACAGCCCTCAGCCTAGCGGACTTCTTCACCTCAGGCCAACCCCGACCTACAGCCTAAAACAAAGTATGATATTACTTTATTTTATTTTTTATTAAAAACAATAAAAAAAATTATTTTAAAAAATTGGCAAGATCGTTTATAATCATTAATATTCAGCAACAATAAATGTTATTAAAAATAAATCGTCAATATAATAAATATCTACCCGCAGAGGGTAGCTGATGAGTGCTCTAGGTTTATGACGTCTCAGATTTTCAAGTACAGTATAGCTATGCAGAAACATTCATTTAAACCACTTCCACACCTCGTGTGTTGTATTAATACTAAAAATACCCTCCATCCTCAATTTTATTTTTTTTAATTTCTTGTATTCTGATAGCCCTCCCCTCCCCCCAAAGGAGTTCTAGCTCTTGTCCTAATGAACCTTAGCCCTACCATTGATATAAGGTTAGCTATAAGGCTTTAAAGTTGCATAATTGATAAAAATTAGTTTTTCGTAATTTTAGGTGATATATTTGGCTGTTAAAGCAACAGAACTATTTATAAAAAATAAAGAGAACTTCAGAACTCGAAGAATTTTAAAAATAATGAGAGAGGGTAGACGACTTCACAGATGTCACTCTGACAAAGCTATGAATCAACCTTAAAAACTCGAACATATGACGACCAACCCACCAAAGAAATATGTGCTGACTCCGAAAGAACCAAATACAGGAAATACGAAAATCTGCATGAGTCGAATAAAGGCTTAATTAAAAACTTTCGAAGATCGTCTAATGATTGGTGTACTTTTTAAATTTTCATTTCGTCCCAAGCTGATGTACACACCAATCATGGACGATGAAAGAAGTTGACAGATCCTGCTTTTAATGAATAGATAAGTCATCAAGATACTGATGACGCGTATTGGACGAAAGCGTGTGTGAAATTAATTAACAACTTCCAACCCAACCAGTCTCAAATTAAAAAGTGTCCCTGTATTGAATTGTAGTATAGAATCTTTTATTAATACTAACTTTTCGATAGGGGAGTGAGGTAGCTCAATGCCCTACCGCTGCGCTTCCAATACCTAAGGTCCCAGGTTCGAATCCCGGCTCATGACAGAAAAAATATTGATTTTGTTTCATCGGCCGTGGGTTGACTAAAAGGTAAGTATACCCTTCTGGGGCACACCAAAGTGGATACTTAGTTAAAATAATTAATTAAAGTGAAAAAACATGGCGGCTGAGCGTGATCCTTCTCCGATCTTCTCCCTGCTCAACCTTTGACCGAGAAGCAGTACCTTCCTATGTTAGTACTGATAATACGTAGTACTGAATCTAAGACCCTTCATGAGTTGTAGTGGTACAGGATTTTTTTTTGTTTCCTTTTCGACAAATAATCATTTAATAATTACTATTGAACTATTGTCGTCGGCGTTTGTATATTTTCTCACTAAAATCGAGAGATTTACATGCCGTTGTTTCTCGAAGTAAAGAGGAGTAAGGGTTCTATGGAATATAAGTTTCAGCTATTGCAACAAATCGTACTTGGTGAACAAGACGTACTTCATGCTAAAGGAATTAAGCATATCAGTATTATTATGTGGAATTTTACAAATACAACCGATAAATTGTTTTAAATATATCCACATCCAACCTTGACAAGGGCCAGTTTGATACTATTTCTTAGGAAATGAAAAAATATTGTATTTAATAAAAAATACGCAGTGTTTACCTTTTAAAATGATTTCGATTGTTTTCTATATTAAATAATAATTTCAGGTAGAAATAAATTGACAACAGAATAATTTCGCAATCTTCAAAAATTACCACGTAGCTCTGGTTATTCAATCTCGTAATTGCAACAGTTAATGTAAGGTTGACTGCCAATAGTAATTACATGGAGCTCCATGCGTGCTATCACTGCATGTGAGCTTATGTGTACCTGTTACAACTTGTTGTTGGGACATGGAATGATTAAATCATTTGTTAATTTCATTTTTAATTACGTTTCTCAATCAAAATTAGGTCTCCTGTTCCTCCATCGAGTTCGATAAGTATTTTTTATTCCCGCCTAATAATTTTGTGTTTTAATAATGAGGGGAAAAAAATCATAAAACTATTCGGAATCTTATTTGTCAGTGTTTTTTTTAATGAAAACTACATAACAATTAATTGATAACTCCGATTATTTTTTATGATTTTATTTCGTTTTTCTTATTTTCATTCTATAAGGTTTATTAACTTCTAAAAGCTAAAATATTATACTAACTCAATAAATGATTAACGTAAATGAGTAACAAAAAAAATTTTTTTTTTTAACAAGAAGTATTATTTTAACGTCTCGGCCTTAAAAGCCAGTGAAAAAAAAACCTTCCAAAAGAAGTCATAAAACTATTTTAAAAAATATATATTATCTCCACCCTGTTTCAAGTGATGACACTCATTTGAGCTCTTATTAATAATAATAAATATGTTAAAAATACGGAATAAATTAAAAATTGAAAGAATAGTATATATTATTTCAATCACGAATCGATAGAATTCACAACATAAGAACAGAGAGATGATCCTAATCTATACATAAATTAAAATAGAATAAATAAAACAACAAATTTTCAGGAAATAAAGTTAATATTAATAACAATAAACAACGAAGGTATGTTTTGCCGGTTTTAATGCAGGAAATGGATATCTTTCCAATGCAGCCAAATGACAGTCAATTTTATTCATCGGTAGGCTAGTGAAGAGCCTAGTATTATTATCTACCCGTCTAGATCCATGAAATATAAACACAGGTGAATTGTAGCGTATATATCCAAAACAAACTTGTTCTCTCGATTAATTAAAATATGTAAAGTAACTGTTGCTCTGTTTAAAAGGGTCAAAGATACGTTTGTAGATATGTTGACTTTAAATAACTTGTTTGTTGACTATCAACAATGGAATCGATAGTACTATCGATCATGATGGTTATTCCTACCGCGTCTTTATATAAATTTATTACCTTTTGTTACAGACGGTTATAGTGGGAGCGGCGGTGAAGGACCCGGAGGTGGCGAAGAAGGTGGAGGTGGTCCGGCCTATGAGTACCAATCCTTGGACCCTGGACCTCCAGCGTACATGGACCCTGACTTCTACACGGGTAGTCACATCTTGGACCCCAAGTACCACCCCCACTACTCCAAAGCGGCCTACCTAAGGGCAGGTAAGTCGTGTCTCCTCTCATAATTTGAATAATTAACAAATATTTCTTAAGTCTTATTTTCATTGCAATCCAGAGATGTCCAGAAGAGGGTTTCATGGCTCCTTCAGAGTTTTGATTATTTTTGTGTGGTTCAATAATGAGGATTTAAAGGATTTTTTATAACAGGGGATAAGGGGAAACAGGGGTGATCATTCCCCCCCAAGGTCCGATCGCTTATGAACCTCCTTCATATCCCATGATATTTTATTGCTCTCCTCTTTTGAAAAACAATAAATATATAATTACATTTGCTGCAGTCTGTATTTGTTTTCCCTTTGTTTGACACTTCCCTTCTAGAAATTTATAACCCCGTCAAACTGTGTCCTCCCCCCTTTAAAGTTTAAAATTCGCCCTCAAAAATTTGATGGGGGACTTGTTCCATGAAAAAAACCCTTATGGACATCCAAGTGCCATCTCTTCTCATATGATCTACAATTTTCCGTTCTGTACTGTTTCCTAGAACAAGAGCAGGTTTGAGAAGGAGGTTTCATTGCACAAGTTATGTCATCAATATTATTAAGGATTGATCCATACATTTTTTTTATAAATAAATATTGTAACACGTACAATACTAAATGTATTCCTCATTGCAAGATGTCTTTTGTTTTTTTAATCCAAATTATTTTTCTATTTATCATATTATCTTCCCTATTTCATTTAGAACAGGGAATATGTAAATACAAAATTGGTGGGTTTGCTATAACTGAATTATCCATCACATAGTTGTATTGGGTTTTAATCCATTTTTCTTTCTCATTTCTCCAATCAAGCTAACTTCAACGCAGTCTTAAGAGTCCTGAATATTTCGCAACATCTGAAAGTTTTTGATTTCGTAAAAGATTTTTTCCCGTTAATTTTCGTGATTCTGGATTTTAAACTCCTGCTATAGTCATCTGTTGTTATTATTTTTGAATACATACTATCAAATATTACGTGTGTGTATAGACATGTATGTACTAAATTTTTCTTCATTATATTATATTATTTTTAGCTTTTTTGTGTATTCTATGCGACAGATAAGATTCTTTTATGCACAGATTGAGATTAAAAGCTATACATACATTTTTAAAATTTCAGAATAGTAAAAATTTTGTAAACCATTAACGAAAAAGTATCTATTCCTATTAAATTTGACTTAAAAAATATTCGACCACAGTATAAATTAATAATTAGCACTGTGGGCTATTTGTAATATAGTCACTGATTCCATTGAAACATGATAATATAGTCCAATGAAATCATTTGTTTTGAGTTAGATGAACATTATAAATAAAAATCGTTTTATTTATTATAATTTGTTTAACTATTTTATATTTTCTGATTAAAATGAAAATTCATCGATAAATTCCATATACATTTTCGTTACACTTTGAAATTTCGTTCAACCTAGATTCCTGACTACCTGAAAAATAATTGTGTTAATTTATTGCAATTCTTCATTTAATTTTATATTGGTGTTTGAACTAACATATTCTTCTTGAATATTTAATAGTTAAGCGTTTCATTATAAAGGAAGGAGATGGTCCGGGGTGGAAGTCATAAATAGGCTAAATAGTGGCAAAACTATTTTATTAAAAGAAAACGATTACAAGACTTAGCAGATCTTCTTCAGGGAGGTGTGTTCAGCTAGGAGTTTCACTTAGAACTGGAGTTCTAAGTGAAGAAGAACTTCAGTTCTAAGTGAAACTCCTTGCTGAACACACCTCCCTGGAGAAGTCCTGCAAAGTATAATAATAGTTTTGCCACTATTTAGCCTATTTATGACTGCCATCCCGGACCATCTCCTTCCTTTAACACATTCTTCACTAATTGAAAAATAAATAAATAAGATCCTTCAATAAAATTATCCATTTCGTTTCCAATGTGAATGTAAGGTCTTGTATTAAGATAGATACGTAACCAATTATTAAAAGGATTACAACCATTCACTGGTAGATCCACGGAGGGAGGGGTTTTTTTCGGGTTAAAGCACCCCCTCACCCTTCAAAATGCAAAAACGAAATTCATTGGTCATAAAAACATTTTTTTTGTGAGTATTCTGAGCTATATACTTAAACAATCAAAATGTGTACTCTTTTTCATTTACAACTCGTGTATTTCAGCTACTTCATGTAAGCACGTGTCAAGAAAAAATATAGTTTACACGTATCCCTAAATCCATTAATGTTCATGTAAACACTTTTTTTTTTTTTTGCTAGCGTTCAAAGAGCACTTTCTTATAGTCTCTTTCTTCATCCTGTATCCACTACGAGAAACAAAGACTAAATATTCGATTTAGACTATCATGGGCTTCAGTAGAGATATGTAAGCAAAGATCGTGTTATCGACATAGGACCTTCGTGTTAACTTTGATCATATCATTACTATTATATAATCAACTTAAAACAAGTAAATATTTTATGTTTTTATTTATTACTCTCTTTATAATCTAAATAAATGAAATTAAATAATTACTACATAAACTAAAAGGGACGATTTACTGTAATATTAATACTTCACTATTTTTCACTTAGCGTTGTCCATTTTAATTTGTACAATTTCATGCTGGGATTTATACTAATATACAATAAATTTTATGGAGAGGGGGGAACATTTTGATGATTCAGATGGGTAGATTTTAAGGATAAAGAAAAAGTTAATTAAATTTTGATTGAGTGTGTGTGTCTTTATATATATTTTTAATAATTATCAAAGAAACTCAATAAAAAAATCCAGTTTCTTATTTGATGAGCCTTGGCAAGCTGGACCAACCGAGTGCAGTAAGCATCCAAGCGAAAATAGACAATGGCGACTAAGATGGCGGCCAACAAAGACAGTTCCCACGACCTGTGGGGAGTGACCTATGTTAATAGCACCAAACTCGAAGAAACCTTTCAAACGATGATAGTCTAAGATTCAACGTCATATTATTATTTTTTGTCGACTGTCTTGTTTTTACCGGCGTTAAGAACAGTGAAACGTAAGCTTTCTTGGCATAGTTATGTTATTTGAAGTTTCGTCGGTATTTGCTACTACACATTATTATCAAAGCTAATATGGGTTTGTTAAAATGCCTAGTAACTGTTAAAGAATCGCCTTTAATGTTCACCAGGGAGGAGGGGGTTCTCGCCCTGAGCCTTACAAAATGGAAACTTTTGTTCATTTATCCGTATTTATTACTGTGAGTGATCTATTAAAACAATAACCATATCTTATGGAAACGATATTTAAAAATTGTTTATAAAAGTGTCGTGTTGTTCGTATAATGAAATTTTTAATAAGACTTCAAGAATGACTTAAACACTATTTCGTATACGTAGTTAGTTTTTTTCTTCCCAAGTAATTATCGTTGTACATAAATATATATATTAAAAAAGCTTTCGGACTGTAGGCTCCCAAAATGAAATCCTGGATCCACTATTGATGTTCACTGATCTAGTCTCTTTTCGGCAGGGGTGCCTACTCCTCCTCTCCTTTCCCCCAAAAAAACACTTAACATTTTTTTTTCCCCCACTTTGCATCACAGACTTTGTAGATATTTCACCATCCTAACCAGCCTTTTCCATTTCTGGCTTTTTCCTTCATCTCGGGCCATTTCTTTCCTGTTATCTGCATGCGAATCTACTGCATCTTAGTTGGTTTGATCTATCCTTATTGTTTTTGGGCATCCATGTGGTCTCTTTCCTACTATTGAAGCATTCATTGTTGTATATAGGCTTCCTGGTGGAGTGCTAGCTGTAAAAATGTGCCCTCCCAAAAAATTTTTAAAAATGTGCCCTCCTCTTGCAGCAACTTGTATCATGCAACCTCCTTCTGGACACCCTTGGTTTTCGAAAAAATGGCTACGGAGAAGAGTCGAACAAGCTATGTGTGTTTGTTTTAATCAATCTCTTGTAAAATTAATCAAAAACTCGTGTAACACAACATTCACTTACAATTAATTTTGATATAAGATTAATTTTTTATATGTTAAAATTAAATTTAATTCAGTACCAATGGTATTCCAGCATCACTCCAAAAATACCACTAAGGATTTCACACTTCCCGATCTTTATACTTTCCATCTGCCGAGGATAATTTAGAGTTATGTGATTACTGTTGATAGTCATGCTATACAATCAAAAAATAATATATTTAAATATGTGTGTATGAAAAATTTCCGGAAGCGGGTATGTGAAACGTGTTGGAAGCTGGTTGTCAAGATTCCTTTTTGTAACGGAAAAGTTCTGCAGCAACAAGCAATGAATTATTTGAGGATATATGAGGGGTGTAATAAATAAAACTTAAGTTATTTCAATTATGATACAATTAATTTATTATAATATTTTGGCATTGGTGTACCTTTCCCATTTCTTTAGCAAATGTCGAGTTTTAAAATCCTGTGGTTATTTCCACTTCATCACGAACTCTGAAGCATTCTATAAAGATGAGTTCAAGATCGAATTTATTTTTCATTCGTTAACAGAACTAGAATTCATTTCACCTATTCCTTTTGATTCTTATGTTGATAACGTTATTCCGATTTTCACTGGGTGAGGAAATTTCTATGACTGCGACTGTATGTTCAGTGGCGGATCCAGAAATGTTCTGTAGGAGGGGGGCGTACTTAGGATCAGGTGAATTCCGTTCACTTAAGGTGCATGTGTGTGTAAAAAGAAATGTGTAAGTGTGAAATGAAATGTGTTAGTTTGTTTTTATTTCGTCTAGTATTTTGCCATAAAATGGCGGTTAAAGTTTCTTAACTGGATAATGTCTATGAACATAAAACCAATACCAACCTTAATGTGGAGCAACCGATGCGCCAACCTCGGGAGTGCCCGTTGAGGACGCTTGCCGATCTTCAGGGGGCGCTTGCCACTTGTTAAAAATTTTAGAAATATACAAAATGTATTAATTTAACCAAAATGATTAATTTTAGTCTACCTAACGACATTAATTACGATCGACATAAGCTAGAATTAAAATTACAATTCTTATCGAGCTATGATATAATCGTTAATACAGGAAAGTCTTGAAAAACCATTAGAGCACTCTGACCTTAAAGCGCATTTCGGTCCCATTTTTTTTTTTATTATTATGAACGTTGATGTCTCTTATACTAACAGAATAAATAAAAGCAATGTAATATGTTAATGAATTATAGTTCTGTTAAAAACATAGTTACATTAACCGAATCAAAAGCATTGAATCGATAAAAATCGTCCAAATACGTATGAGTGTGGCAGATACAACGAGTGAAATACGCCTTTGATTCCATGAGCTTTAGCAGCCGCTTAAGCATCTCGCATAATAACGTGCCCACATGAGGTACACAGGAAATTTAATGCTCTTTCAAATTAATACTAAGATTTTTTTTCGATAGATGCGTAGATTATGAGGTTTGGAAGAAAAACTGACAAAAACAGATATTTCTTGTAGAATAAGCAACCAGTCAACATACTTTTAACTCCTCAACCGTCGGTCCTGCGCCAAAAAGCTATTTATTAAACTGATATTAGATTTTATCTTCTTTAGCTTTATAATAGTATTAATTTCGATAAAATGCATATTTTCGGAGTCAGTCCAAATAAAGCTTCTGGAATTTCGCTGTTTTTGCATATATCTCTGAACGTAATATAAAATTTCGTTCGGGAACATCAAATTCAAATTCGGTATTCCAAAAAAAAAAAAAAAAAAAATTATAACTCCAAGAGGAAACCGACTATTTGAATTTTTCTCTCATCCTATATAACTACCATTCGACTGAATTAATTTGATTATTTTAACGATATTGCGCTTTAGCTTAATGACAAAAGATGGCCAGCAGGTTCTGGTTTTATTTTTCAGGAAATTTTAGCAGCTTTCTTTTTAATATCAATGATTTTTCTCTATAATGCGTCATTTTGATGCTTGGAATAATTTCTGAAATTTTGTCATTTATCGGCCATCCCAATCACTTAGTCGTCTCATAATTTGTATTTCCTAATCAAACATTTTGTTAACATGTATTGTTTTTAATAGAGAGTTTAAAAAATAAGGCATAATCAGTAGTGAAAAACAACATGCCCAAACCTTGTAACATCTCTCCATTAGCAGTAACATCTATTTTGAAAATCAAAGGAAAAATCTCCTCTCAGATTTGAGATAGTCAGATCCAAAAATTTTATAATATCTTAAAAGGAAAAAAGCAAGTGTTGCAAATTTTTTTTGTGGAAAGACAGACTTAGAGACATCTTAACAAATATCTTAGTATTACTCTGTAGGAGATGCTTCTCCCACCCCTATCCGTTCTCCCACCATTACCCATCTCCCACCACTACCCACATCCCCCCACTCCTTACCTGACTTTAGCCATTCAAAAGTCCTCTTTAAATGGTTTTTACAAAAGCAAACTTTATTTTTACATAAAGTAAATTTTGTCTAGTTTATAGTGAAGCAATCGTTAATCACTTAAATTAAATAGTTTTTTTTTTTTTTTTATCACTTCCAATTCAATAAAAAACGTAGCTTACATGAAATCACAAAACTTTAATTCCCTACTTTTCTGTTGAAAATCTAACCATTGTTTATACAAACTTTTTTTGTATTTATTGAATTCGGCTAACACTCCTTAATATATTTCCCTCAACTTACGAGATACTCTCCATATAGGTTTAGGCATGTAAAAAATTAAATTGATGACACTGGTCACTAAGAGAAACCTTTTGCAGCCAAAAAATCCAGAATTATCTGATCTTTCTTTTTCATGTATCACTACGAAACAGTGCATCAAAGCAAAAAAAGTATTCTTTGAGAAATTAAAGAACATTAAATTATGCATGGAACGAGTACCTAAACTTAATAATTTGATTAAGTGATATGATCGATAACCACGGTCAATGAACGCTAATTTTTATCAACATGGTCAAAATCTAAGAAAGATTACAATAAATGGCCCTGCACATTGGAAATGAGTTTTCTAAGAACAAAAACTCATAATAATTTCTAATTCCGATCATAATCAGATTCTTATAAAATCAGAGAACAAATAATTAGTATCTTGCCGCATGAAAACGTTCCCAACAGCAGCTATTTTAAGAAAAGAACAACGCTTTCTAATGAGAAACGTACAAATTATTATCGAGACTATTATTATGAATCGCATGGATTATTCAAGGAGACTATAGTTACTTGAGGTTGCAATGCATCCAGATCTATTGGAACTGAATAAAATCTGGTCACAATAATAATATTTTTTAATATTACATTAGGATATTCATCGTCTATGAGGATGAATTTTCCCTATATTTCCCTTTTCTTTAAATAGCTGCTTTTTGGAATTTTTTTCCAGCTCCCAGGGGAGGAGGGGTGCCCCCCTGCTGGTTCCGCTTGTAGCTGTTAGTGTTAATTTTGGTGAAGACCCCAATTAAAGAACAAGACTTTTATTCAGCTGAATTAAGTATTCTAAGACTATACAAGTAAAGTAATTAATAATTTTCATGTACTTTATTATAACTGGCATAAATTTTAATTAATTGAGTTGAATTTGATTTTTTTTCCTCCTAATTCTATCTTTGTTGAATAAATGTTACATTAATGTTCATAAAATGGAACAAAAAGGAAGTTTAGTTTAAGTTTAAACAATGCCTTAATTTGTATTCTCTTTTTGAAGTCTACTATCATGATTAAATAATAATATAAATAATTAAAAAAATGTATTTAATTTTTATTTGTAGGTAGTCGATATGGACAAAATGATGGATACAATGATGCTTATAATTATGATGGAACACCACCATATCAAACTGTCCCAAATTTAGCTGCTAGTGGAGGAACATCAGAATGGACTCCAGATATAAATTCTCCCCATCCAGCCTTTTTATCCCACAATCCACAGTCTGCACATGACTCAAAAGTGTTACTGAACCCACCGGTACATCATCCAAACTATTCAAGTAAGTATAGAAAAGTCATGTGAATACAATACAATATATGTACATCAATATCTTAATCAGTTCTTATAAATTGTTAGAACATGTAAAACCTTTATTACCCAACAGATCACCAGTTAAATTTCAAATTTAGTCAATTAATATTCATATGTATCTGATAAATTAAAATTGTTAAAAACCGTCTAGTTAGAATGAAACACTTTCTTTTTTAATAAGCAAAGATCTACGCTATATAGTTCATTAAAACATAGGCGCCAGCCTCTGGGAAAGTGAGGAATTTTCTGCTACCCTCCCCCTATAATTCCTAAGTGCCAACACTTATTCAATGCCAATAATAATAAAATAAGTTTAATAGCATAATAGTGTTCTGATGTTTTGTCTTTCTTCAGCAGAAAATAATTACTCTTAAGAATGCATCTACCTATAATTTTAATTCTAAAAGGTTTTTGGAGTTTTTTTATTTTATTAATAAGTTCTTATGGTTCCTTGCTATCTGGGCCCTAAGCAGCCACTTAATTCATCTGTCTGCTTGATTTAACAACATCCCTTTCAAACAATGTTTCATTACACAAAATTAAAATTTATTTATATCATATATTATATTTGACTATATAACATATACTCCTCTGTAATTTTATATATTTCTATTAAAAGATCATTCATTATTTTAATTTACATTTGCAGGTGCAGGTGGTGGCCCTTGTTTCACTGGTTCAGGCCCAATTCAACTTTGGCAGTTTTTACTTGAGTTATTGACTGACAAGTCTTGTCAAAGTTTTATTTCCTGGACTGGAGATGGCTGGGAATTCAAATTAACAGACCCTGATGAAGTCGCTCGTCGATGGGGCGTCCGTAAGAATAAACCAAAAATGAATTATGAAAAATTAAGTAGAGGATTGAGATATTACTATGATAAAAATATAATACATAAGACAGCAGGGAAAAGATATGTATATCGTTTCGTTTGTGATCTTCAAACCTTGCTGGGGTAAATATTTATTTGTTAACTATAAATTATTTAGAGAAATAGAAACTAAAATTAACAGTTTCATTATAATTATAAATTTTGTTGTATCTTCTTGTGGATTAAAATCTTAGGTTATTCACTACTCAGAAAATCATGTTTTTTGATATAATAGAAGTGAATCTTCATTTTATGACCAAAACGCTCATTACAATAATTTTTTATTTTGCTTATGACATGAAGTAGATAGCCTTTATACCAGGAGTCCTAACCCTATGCCTGGAGCACCATTTTTTCCTCGCATGCCCATTGTAGTGCCCAGTTGGCTGTAATCTGTAATAGGCCAGCAGATAACTGCTTTATGTGACCTATTGCTGTTCGAGATTTTTATAAAATACTCTATGTACATTTTTTAAATATCAAATCATTAGTTCAAAATCTCAACACATTTTTTTGAAAATATTCATTAATGGATATCAACATTTTAATAAAGTTTCTTTGTCAATGTTTATTATTTGTTTTTTGTTTTTTTACTGTTTTAACATTGCATTCGCATATCTTATGACTTGTAAGATGGGCTCTTATTTTTTTGTTTAAAGTTAATTTTTAAATGAAACTTCAAAGTAAGTGTTAGAGATCAAATTCCTCCCATGATATAGCATCTATCTAAATAATGGGGCTATGGTCTTTGTAGAGCATTGGCCTCCTCAGTGATCCTCCTCCACTCTTACCTGTCTTTGGCTGCCCTTCTCCATCTGCCGACACCCAACATCCGAAGGACCTCTACATCCTGCAGCCAACGAAGTCTTGGTCTCCTTCTACCAGGGTGTCTCTCCATCACCATTTTTGATGGTCTACTACTTTCCATTCTTCGTACATGCCCCAGCTATCTTATCCTTTCACTCTTAATTGTGGCAACAATATCTGGTGTTTCATACAGATTTTTAAATTCCTCGTTTATCTTCATCCGCCAGCAATCTCGTTCTTTTGTAGGGCCAAAGATCTTTCTGAGGATTTTTCTTTACCACATGTTTAACAGCCTTTCATCATTGTGTGTCAGTGTCCAGGACTTTCATACAGGACCAGTGGCTGAAGGACAGTACTATACACTTTTATTTCGAGTGCTCTGGACTATTGCGGTTTCTAAATATTTTCATTAGAGACCAGCATCATCGATTGCCAGGTGCTATCCTTGTCTTAATTTCTTCTCTAATCTTATTATCCTCAGTGATAACAATGCCCAAATACTTAAACTGCGGTACTCTCTCGAAATGATATCCAGCCTCCTCGATATGCCCCTTCCTTCCTTCTTCCTTGCTGGTCCTCATATATTTAGTTTTTTCCGTATTAATTACCAGTCATGTTCTGCTAGCACCTACTTCGCACTCCTCAAATGCTCCAAGTAGTAATGCACTGACTGTTTTTCCGGTAATCCCAATATCATCTGCAAACACTAAATGTTGTGTCAGTCTGTGGTAGATACATCCTCCAGGTCTTGTCCGGATTGATTTCATGACCACTTCCAATACCATATTGAATAAATGGTTTTATTTTTTTACTGTTTTAAAATTGCATTCGCATATCTTATAACCTAACCTGTAAGAAGGCCTCCTATTTTTTTTTTTTTTTTTAAGTTTATTTTTAAATGAAACCTCAAAGTAAGTGTTCAAAATCAAATTCCTCCCATTATATAGCATCTACCAATGAAATATAGTGCCAAAGATCAAACAGACAATAGAATTTATATTACCTTTTTTTTTTCCAATTTTGTCTACATTTTAAATATATTATTAAATAGTTATTCATTTTACACCAGGACATAAACAATATTTTTTGTATATGTTAAAACGATTCTTTTTTTTATGAAAAATATCGTAGAAGGAAAAAATAAATAAGTGCCCACCGCTTGACTAATACACAATATATTTGCTCTGGTGGAAAAAGGTTGTGGACTCCTGCTTTTTACTATAATCATAACTCATACATTCAGCTCCCTTTTTACTAACGAATCTATAATTCAATTTCTGGGGGAGGTAGGCTTCAACCTGAAAGCTTTTTTTTATATACATATGATAATTATTCCTTTGAAAGAAGAAGAAAGAAACTAAATACCTATATAAAATAATGTTTAATTGATTTTTGTAGTCTAGTCCTATTAAATGTAATTACATATTAATATTTTTAGAGATAATTTTTTTATATTTCCTTTGTAAGGCTTTGTTATATTTACTATTTTGGGGAGGGAGCTACAGCCTGAAAGCCTTCCCCCTCCTCCCTTCATAGATCCGCCTGTGTCACTTTTTATTGACATGTGGCTGCTCCTTTTTTTTTTCAAACGAGCTTATGCATTCAGAATTAAAAAAATAAAAACTGTTTTGTGGTTGAACTTAGTGAGCAATCTTCCTCGAGTATTGTTAATTCCAGTTTTTATTTGTTAATATGGTTTTAATATAGAGTCTGATTTATTAAATCCTCGTATTTTATACATATCCTTTTTTTTATTCAAGACTTCCATTGAAGTCCCATACTGAAACATACCTAAGAGAGTTTCTATATATTTATGCAAAACATAAATGAGCATTTTAAAGCAGTGGAATCAGTTGTCTGTTCTGTTTTATTGTCACTTATACTAATATTGCCAGCATAGTAACCTAGTCACTCTATATTGCCTGTTTAACAGATTTTAATAATTTATTGTGAATTATTTAGTCTTTAAAAAGTATATAAACATCCCATATTCTATCAAACATGATTTGTATAAGTGAAATTACATAAATAAACAGAATCCATCTAACAATGTGCGATTTTTTTTTTTTTAAGTAACCATAATTAAATTAGGGATTATTGGAGTTGAAGTGGGATTACACTTTTCTGGAAACACTTAATCATATAGTTATCTACATATCTATTTATAAAAATATTTATCATTTAACATAATTTTTCAACAATTTGTTCTAGATATTCAGCAGAAGAAATGCATGCTTTAGTTGAACTAAAGCCAGAGAAAAAAGAAGATGATTAATTACCACCTAAACGGATACTTCAAATTCAGCTGTAACTAAACTGATATACGAATCTACTCTGAAATATTATAAACCTATGACCATCATTAATTTTTAAGAACAATATTTTCTTTTTCTATTTTTATATATTTTAATGTTTAGTTTTTGAAAAATATGTATCTCGTTTTAATAGTCAGTATAAATTTGAAAACAAAACATTACAGAACATTAATCCTGTAAGTTGTATCTGATTTTATATTAGTAAAGTCAGATTCAAATGTATGGGTTTTGTAAAACTGAAGAAGTTCTTGGCGAACTATATTCATTCCTTTTATCCAGGATATCTCTATTCAATTTATAAACAAAACTTTATTTTTATTTCATTGTAATATACATCCTTAAGGAAATGTGTTTTTTCAAAGCTTATTCAATATATATGTAGTTCTAACTGGCACAGTTTTTGTTCTGTTTTTAAATTAATAAATTTATCTAATAATGATGATATTATATTGGAGAATTGATTTAATTTTCTTTTCTGCCCAAAATAAAAAATACTGAAATAGTGTATTAATTATTTATCTCAAAATTTGTACTGTAAACTCTCCCTTATCCTTTACGTACCAGGACTGATATAACTGAAGTGAAGTAAACATTATTTTAACAAAACATTAATATTAACACGTTGATTGACAACTATGAGATAACTCGTAGTTAGTGTTTAGCATCATTGCCTAGAAACACGAACTTTGAGTTATCTCTTAGCTTCTTTACTTTTTATCTTCCATGATATCATATGGTTAAATTAAATTGGCTTTTTCACACAGTTCTGTAAGATTTAATATCATAAACTACATTAAGAATGCCAAAAATCATTTAATTTGTTATACATCCCTCAGAGGTGCAGAGATAAGAGAGAGCTTACAGTATTATGTAGAATATCTTTTACAAACAAATAAAATTGCACAAATACTGTAAATAATTCAAGAATATATCTATAAAATAAACTCAGGTTATTAAAATTATTTGTTACTTTAAATTTAACTTCTTGAATCTCTACATTCTTTTCGGCTGTTATTAAAACCACTTTTTAGTGCTTTTAGTTATAAAAATTTGTATTACATTATATAAAAATGTTATGTTCATTCTCAATTTGATTTCAGATTATATATTTTAATTACAAAACTATATTAATTCTCTTGTATTTTGTACCTCACTTAAGCTTTTAAAAAAACAATGTTAAGCTACTTAAAACTGTTCTTTTTTCAACATAGTGGTTATCTAACAAAAAGAAAGTCTTATAAATATATGACTCAAAATTTATCCTGTACTGACGATTGACTAAAATAATAAAATTGTTTTACTGAAAATAGAAAAAGGACATTTCAAGATTTTTTTTTAAATGTTAGTTATGTGTAAAGTTATATATGCATTTATATATTTTTTCTAATGTAACCTATCTGGTGCATCGTTTTACTGATAATCAGATTTTATTAGGTGTAAATTATTGTTATTTAATAGGATTGTGGACATGTGATCCTAGCTAGTCTTCTAGGCTTTATTATATTCATAGTTTTAAAATATATGAGCATGTTTTTAATGTGTTAATCATTTTTTAAATTTTTTTTTATGAATTTCTGGTCTCTTGTGACATCCGATGTCTTAAAAATTCCCAAAAATAATTTTAAGTTAGAATTGAAGTTACTTTAATGTTCTTAAAATTTTGAAAATTTTTGATGGTCATATTTAATTGAATGTTAATATTATAAAGAAAATATATTATATTTTTTAATTCACGAGTTTCGTTCTGTATTTATTTATTGTTTAATGTCAAAAAAGTTAACTTGAAAAAAAAAAAAAATTGAATTTCAAAATATTATATTGTTAAGAAATCACATGGAACTGTTTTTTGTATTTTCATGTAACTTGTAAATATTGTGTAGATATTATATTTTTACTGTGTTAGTTAAAATAAACTATTATTACAAATATATAGCTGAATTTATTTTTCAGCTGTTTACTCTTTTTGTGTTATTAAAAATTAAAATTGTGTGTAAATATTACTTATAAAATACTATTCATTAATTTAATGTGTGAATGTGTATATATTACACACACATAAACCCATATATTCATATTCAGTGTATTATCTGTCTTTATAAATAAAGAAACATGCTGTATTTAATTATGTCATTTTTTGACATAATTTGAATTGTATGTTTTGCAACTTAAAACTTGTTTTTCTGTACAATTAACCTAAAAAATTTGATAATTTTCAATTGATGTGCCATTACATTTTGAGTATGTATAAGGTATTTATACATTCATTGTTTTTCTTTGCATCTAAAAATATATAACTGAAATGGTTGTTAAAAATTCAATAGTAACAGAAACAAAATGTGCCGAAATGATACTTTTGCCAGATTGAAAATGTTAAAATTGCTAATTTTTAAGTGTCATTACTTATTTCTTCTGGCATTGTAAAAAAAAAACAAGAAAAAAAACAACTAAGTATGCAATGGATCTCAACAATTTTATTTTAAACAATTTAGTTTGATATGACTATAGAAACTACGAAACATTTTTTGTAATATTGAATAAAATTAGATATTATGATTATTATCCTAATATGAAGCATTGCTTTTTATTAACAATTCCAACACACTGATATCAAAATTAGCAAAAAAGCCAAGCATCAACAATAATTAAGTCATTATGAAAGTCATTACTGTGAAAGTAAAGTTAAATTTTATTTTCACTTATCTATTTATGAAATATATAATAAGGGAGAGGGTTGTGATAGTAATAAAAAATTCAAATCTAAGATTTCAATGGGAATACTTGTTTTGAGGTCTCCTAAGTCAAAAAAACCAAGTCTCAAAAAATGAGAGGGCGGGGTGGCCGAATGGGCTAACGCGTGTGCACTGCACCGCCGTTGCCTGGCAACCGGATATATGAATCTATGATATGAAAATAGTCACGAGTTCGTGCCAAGGTGCCAGAGGGGATTTTAAATTCCCCGCCCTCACCCTCTGGTCCAGGAAAATCCTGTATAGCCTAAAAAGGCGAGGTAGGGAAGAACAGGAAAAAAAAAAGTCAAAAAATGCTTTGTGTCTATTTATGAACAGTCTAGCTCGGAAACAAATTGTATGAAATTGAAATTACATGTATCTAGACATACAGATTGTTACAATAACGTTTTAGCTGAAAGAGACTTATTCAGTGGTACTAGTTCTTATACTCTGTTTTATCCATACTTAATGATTTTATCTAAAATGGCTTACTATTTTTATTAAATATAAATTTTCAGTAAAATTAAATTGTCTTTAATATCAGGTAGCCATTAACCTTATTCAAATGACCTTACACCGCCGAATGTCCGTAATTTCTTCATTGTAAGGTACTATTTCTCTGCTACTACCAGTAGTTAAGCACAGTGCAGCAGTCCGGGTTGGATATCACATTTATGCTACTCCTTTTTGACAACTCAAGAAGCTGTTGGAAGTATGGAGGTTCTATGTTATATTATCATATCTGAGAATTGTTTTGAAGTTAACAGTCATCTTTATATTGTTCATTTCCTTTTTTTTGTTAAATCAAGTCAGGCAAAATTAAATGAAAAATTGTTTAAAATTTAAACAAAGGTATAGTGAATTATTTTTTAGAGGTTCAAGTGACAAAGTTATTTATTACATCAAAACTATTTTACAGAGGAATTCAAACAAAGCTAAATCCAAAAGACATTAAATAATTTTTAAAAATTAACCTTAGGTAAACACCCTAATCCAGAGATTGAAAAATCAATTTGTCTTTTTTAATTGAAGTGCTGATTACCTATTGATAAAATACTTGAACATTGATATGTTTCATTGCAAATATATATATTACTGAAGTGATCATAATATTAATAAGTATTAAATTTAAAATCAGTGACACATCCTCAATGCCTAAAGTACTATAAGAAACCATCATTTCGTAGAAGGTGGGCATTAATTTTTAGATAATTGTAGACATAACCTAACCTTATTTTTCAACTATAACTATAAAAAAAAAATTGTATTAATTAATTAAGAACAAAACTCTACCACCATATATTTTGCTGTCCTGATACAAATGAAAACCAGTAAATTTAAGGCTAACATTTTTATTTAAAATTATTTCAAATCAGAATGCTAAATTAAGAGGATTTAGACATGATGGTGAGCATTTTCAGTAAAATAGTCAAGCATTACCGATTAGCGGAATGGAATGGCAGTCGCCGCCGTGGGCAGTACCAGCGAAATAGTACTTTTAAGATCCTTTAATTTTGTTTATTTTTATTAATTTCACATTACAATTTGTTAATTGACGAAAGGAGAAATAGGGGTTGGTGAGACTTCGGACCAATGACTAAGGAATACACTGAGCATGGCTGAATTCTCCCAAGTGGTCATAAGAATATCAGCTATTTCTTATCATTATTTAAATTTTCAGAAAGGGTTAAATTGGAGAATAGGTTTGAAAATGGCTTCCTCTGAAGTATGTTTATTTATTTATTTTTTAAATAATAAGGATAAACATAAATTCAGAAGAATTTTATGGCTAGCTATAGATGAAATATTTTATCTGCTTGAAAAAAAAATATATGGAAATTAAAATAGTAATTTTTTTTTTATGGCATTACAGAGTGGATCTTTCGCCACCTTAACAAGACTGCTCCGTTTATGTCTGTCTTGGGCTATTTATTTTCATTTATCTGCATGCAGCTCTATTGCATCTTTGTTGATTATATCTATCCATCTGTTTTTTGGCTTTCCACTTGGTCTTTTGCCTTCTATTGAGGCAATGATTGTATCGTAGAGGCTTCCAGATGGATTGGCCATCTTAATCTCCGTGCCTTAATATCATGGGATATTGATTGATCAGTTTCTATAAGCAGTTCTTTATTGGTCTTTCTTCTCCAACTGATAATGCGACACTTAGTGGTCGATTTATTCCTGTAAATCCATTGACGCCACGGTAGAAATCCTTACCAACTATCTTC